GAAAAAATACAAATCTTTTAAGGTCAAGATCTAGTAAATGGAAGGTGCCTACAGATTTTTCAAATTTAAGATATTAATTCCTTTAATGATGCTTCATAACATTACCTTGGTCAAAATAGGTGTTTCGGGGCATTATTTGTAGAAAAACAAGATGAAAAACCATATTTTAAACTGTCATTTTGAATGAAAAATTAAGAAAACCAGTATTGAAAATAGGAGTTTTTTCCATATCAGACAAAGAAAATGTATCCAGATTGCCTACAGTTTTTCAGAAAACGGTTATTTGTATGTTCTTAGTCTCTACTTTAAAATAATGTTAAATTTAAGATAGGTATCGGGACTACTTTTCACGTGATTTCAAATTGAATTCCATGAAAATACTTTATTTTCTACATAATTCTATTAGAGCCGTAAAGTACGGGAAAAAGAAAGTTGAAAGTGATTATGACGTCATAATGGATTTAGCACTGAAATTTTTTTCTAAAGTCATTTACTAGATCTTGACCTTAAGGTAGGTCGCGGCTTTACTGCATAAAAATTCTTACGAGAAAACATATCCTGAAAATTTTATATAATGTTCCTTAGAATTCACAGCGTGTTATCTGCAATTTTTATCAAATTTGCCTACGTAGTTTTAATGCTATATCACTGTAAACGCGGTATTGTTGTTAGTACTTTTTTTTACGCTTTACTATTAAAATGTATGGGAAAATGACGTTTTAAGCCAATTTTGTGAAAATAGTTTCTTTTCAAAAGATTGGATAACTTTTTAAAGACGTAGACGAATTAGTCAGGAATTTCAAAATATGAAGATAAGGTAAAATCAAAACTATTACTATAAAAAAATCAATATGTCTTCTCGCTAGATTTTTTGCTAAATAATTTCAAAGTTTTCTTTTATACTGCTAAAATGTTGCGTTTATGGCGTTATTTACAACGTCATTTGTTGAACGTAGTCACGTCCCGTTTACAGTATACGAGTATAAATATCTTTACTTTTGGAATATGCAAGATTTAAAAGGTGACATAGATACAAAATTTAATTTCATTCATCATTTAATTTATTGCGGAGACATACTAGGATGACCAGCAACTTATTTTAACTAGTATTGTGACATTCATATTCTGATCATTGAGTCAAAATGAAAGGTATAAACATCCCTCGTGCATGAGAATTAACGTACAGAGACAAACGCGAGTGATAAAATATTAGTACTTGTATTTCTAGGAAATTCATGGTCAATAGGATTTCAGACATAACACAGAAAATTGATCACTTTATTCGAAAACGGTAAGAAAAACATCCCGATACTGAGGAAATAAGCGGGGGGGGGGGGGGGGGGGGGGGGGGGGGGGGGGTGGTATCTGCTATGTTCTTTCTATATTAATCGCAAGCTATAGTAAATGGCCCTAAATCTCAGGCATTTGTTAATTTCGAATTATCTGAATCAATTTTCAATACGCAAAATGTAAAACACTTGCATTTACCTAATACACTTTGAGCTTAGAAAAAAAATTATACTTGTAAATTGTTTATACTGTCTTATAAGTCTTACAGTACAGGTGTTTGAATAAATTTGATTTTTAGCTGCATTTCACAATTTATTAGCCAGCAAAACAAGAAGGCGAATGCACGAGATTTAAATACATAACAACCAAACACTAATGAAAACCCAAGAAAATACATATAATCAAATTTAACCCGTTTTTAGTGATGAGGATTGATTCCATCCTGAAAAGTATACGCATATTTTCGCCCCGGCTTTGATTGGCAGTCATAATGCAACACGCATGTTCCCCTGATTTTCAAATAACGTGCGTACATACAACCCCTCAATTTTCCCGCTTAGCAATTTTTACTCATGATAACTTCCTTTCTGCAAACCATAACTTTTACGCTGATTTATACTGATTGACTCTTAGCAGTTTAATTACACTTACAATATAAATTATTCCTTTCTTTTTGTATTGTATTTGATTAATTAGTCCTAAGACATTACATATAATCACATCAGAATTCAGACTGAAATTTAATAATAAAACATGTATGAAGTTTACGTACAGTAGCATGCACTCTGTATTAATCTACTTGATTCGTACAGACTTGAAGTCATTTGCAGAGAATTAAACGGGAAACAACGTAACGTTGCCTTTGTGACGTTACTGACGTAATAATCAAATGTGCACAAAAACAACAGCTCGGATCGTCGAAATTGTGTACCAAAATTGATGACAAAAGCAAACCCGCGACCTACCTTAAGGTAGGTCGCGGGTTTGCTTTTGTCATCAATTTTGGTACACAATTTCGACGATTCGAGCGATTGTTTTGTGCACATTTGATTATGACGTCAATTACGTCACAAAGACAACGTCATGTTGTTTCCCGTTTAATTCTCTGCAAATGACTTCAAGTCTCTACGAATCAAGTATATTTTAAACAAACAAAGTGCATGCCATTGTACGTAAACGTCGTACATGTTTTATAATTAAATTTCAGTTTGAATTCTGGTGTGATTATATGTAACGTCTTAGGACTAATTAAATACAATATTAATACAAAATGAAAGCAATAAATTATATTTGAAGTGTAACTAAACTGCTTAAAGTCATCAGAATAAATCAGCGTAAGTTATGGCTTGCAGAAAGAAAGTTATCATGAATAAAAAATTGCTTAGCGAGAAACTTGAGGGATTGTATGTGCGCACGTTATTTGAAACTCAGGGGAACTTGACTTCAAATCAAAGCCGGGGCGAAAATATGCGTATACTTTTCAGGATGGAAATTAAGCCTCATCACTAAAAACGATTGAGTTATATTCAATTACAAGTATTTTCCTGTTTTTTTTTTTTTAAATTATCATTATTAATATTGGCTGGTTGTTATGTATTTAAATCTCGTGCAGTCGCCTTGGTTTGCTTGCTAATAAATTGTGAAATGCATTTAAAAATCATATTTATTCAAACACCTGGATTTTAAGACTTACAAAACACTGTAAACAATTTACAAGTATAATTATTTTCTATATATTTTTATGACAAAAGCTCAACGTGTAAAAGCTAAATGCAATTGTTTTACATTTTGCGTATTGAAATTTAATTCAGAAAATTCGAAATTAAAAAATGCTTGAGATTTAGAGCCATATATTATAGCTTGCGACTAATATAGAAAGAACATTGCACGTACCCCCCCCCCTCCCCGGCCCACTTATTTCCTCATTAAAGAGATGTTTTTCCTACCGTTTTCAAATAAAGTGATCAAATTTTTGTTTAATGACTGAAATCCTTTTGACCATGCATTTCCTAAAAATACAGGTACTAATATTTTTTTCACTCGCGGTGAACATTGTTGCTGCATGTTAATGTCGCTGCACGAGGATTACTTATACCTTTCATTCTGACTTTGTGATCAGAATATGAATTCCACAATACTAGTGAAAATAAGTTGCTGGTCATCCTAATATGCCTCCGCAATAAATTAAATGATGAATAAAATTAAATTTTGTATCGATATCACCTTTGAATTCTTGCATATTCCATAGGTCAATAAATTTATACTCGTACTGTAAACGTGACCACGTTCAACAAATGACGTTGTAGATATTAACAACGCCATAAACGCCAAATTTTAGCATTAAGAAAAAAAACTTTGAAATTATTTAGCAAAAAATCTAGCGAGAAGACATATTGATTTTTTTATATTAATGGTTTTGATTTTACCTCATCTTGACATTTTGAAATTCCTGAATAATTCGCCTACATCTTTAAAAAGTTATCCAACATTTTTAAAAGAAACTATTTTCACAAAATTGGCTTAAAAACGTCATTTTCCCATATATTTCAATGGTAAAAGCGTCAAAAAGAATTAAAAACTATACCGCGTTTACAGTACTATAACATTAAAACTACCTAGGCAAATTTAATAAAAATTGCAGATGATACTCTTTAAATTCTAAGGAACATTTTATCAAATTTTCAGGATATGTTTTCTCGTAAGAATTTTTATGCAGTAAACCCGCGACCTACCTTAAGCGATAAAAAATACAAATCTTTAAATAGAGCATGGAGCACAGGGGGCGTTTTACAAAAGAACTCACGACTAAGAACATTAATTCTTCTCATAATTATCTATCTTACAATGATTTGAAAATTGTTTTCATTTTTTTCTTAAAAGAATTCAACGATATATTTTCAAGCTAGCAATTTAAAACAGAATCTTTAATTTTACAATCAACTTAAGGTTTTGGTTTTAGTCTTTTTTAGGGTAAAACAGGCCGGTCCGAAATCCCCCGGAAATACCAGAAGAAGGATCAGGTATCCAAAAGGAGTAAGCATCCCCTGCCGATGGGTTCCACCCGTCGTGAGAGCTATGTATTGAAAAGGTAGACGTAACATTCCGTAAATTTTTTTTAAAAAGTGAAAAATAAAGGCCTAAAACAAATAATTGGTTTGAATACGTCATCCAAAATAGGACCTCATGATCATTTATTTTTGCTTCATTGTCAATATAACTATAGAGAATTATCGTAATGTTGATTTTAAATGATATTATTCATATCCCTGTAACATCAATTTATCTGTGAATAACCTGTCTCAATTAAAAAAAAAACAAACATAGTCTTGAATATCGATTAGTTTGAGAGATAAGATAAACACTACAGAATATTAGGCAATGGCGGAATGATGAAGTCATCTCAGTCTTGAAATGTTGTTTGAAATATAAAAGCCTTTTTTTAATATATAGATAATTCTTAATTTTTGTTTTACACATTCTGTTATTTCACACAAGTGATTAAAAATGAAATTGTGGGTAAATCAGGATGGTAACAAAGTTGCATTAAGCATACTAGTATACATATAACTTACAATACTATAGAACCTTATTAGGGGCCCTATGTTTTTGTGCATAAAAAAGTTTTCTGATCCTGCCTATCATAAGTTCCTATACAGTATAAAATACATAGGTGAGTATTTTTGGCTCTTTTCTTAAAAGTCAACAAAAAGTCAGTAAAACTCAAATTTAATAAAATTGTAAGCATGAAGAAATACAAATACCCAAATACTCACTCCCGCTTCTCTCTTTTAATCAATTGAACAAATTGAATGTGAGGTATGTTTATGCTCAAAAACCACACTGGTTTTCATGCAACTTGATATGTAATGATGTTACAGCTTAAAGATATTTTTGTCACTCCTCTCCACTCACTTTATGTTCTCTCTGTGAGTTACAAGTTACATGCATTATGATATAAAATATCAGGAACTTGAAAATTCCCTACATTTAATAAATAAAAGTATAATAAACTGGTACATTGATTTTCACCATTTTCTTTAACAGAAAACAAAAAACAGACCAGTTCCCGTTTGTTAGTCATACAATTATTCAGGTATACATTTTATACCTCATGTTATATCACTATTGTCAATTCACATCTAGATTTAAATAAGTTTCCAGTGCTGATGAAATCACTTTGATTTTGAAATAATTTCACTTTTTAATATTCCTCCAACATTAGTCCAAATCATGTTTTGGCTTTTTGCTTCTTGATTTTTTCTAACAAGTAGTCAATCTGATGTTTCATCACAGGTTGTCCTTTACTTGTCCTTTTACACAGCAGTTTATAATTGGACTGTTTTCTTGTATTGTATTTTTCTATTGCTGCATCCATAGCTTCTCTATTCTTCTTTGCTTCCTAAAATTTTACATAAGCATCATTAATAAACATGATATACCTGCTACTTAACAACATGAAAGTAGAGTAAATCAAAATTGAAGAATATTTATCCCTTTCACTACATAAAAAATACTATGATCAAAATCCTCACAGGAATAACTTGTTTTGAAAATACATGTGTATGTACACATTTTCTACTCCTTCACTAATACACATAATAAGAATATGGGACAAATTCATTGAGGATACCTTTTTTTTACTTGAACACAACTGTGTCCACATAAAAAATAACACATTTTCTGAGTTTTTTTAAATTTATTTATTTTACGAAGATGCTCATGATGTAATGTGAATGAAAAAAATCTTTATTTTTACAATTAAACAAGGCATCTGAAAAGAGCAAGCTACTTTTAAAGTTAAAAAAAGAGTACTGAATGATGTACATGTATACACTTTTTAGCTCAAAAATGTATTGTATGTGTGGAATTTAAAAATTGCCTCAAAAGATGAATGAAGAAACCATTACTCATGAAATAATTATTCACATTTTGTGTGAAGACTCACATGTATATTAGAGTTGTCGAATAATTGCTTATTTACATGTAGCTTATGTTACAGCTAACCAAAGCCAGGGGATGAACCCATTAAATAATATAAATTTACCTGCTTTTTCCTCTGCTTCTCTTTCTTTCTCTGTTTGAAGTCATGATGTGCCTTTGAGTATGTTCCAATGGACTTCTTAGTAGACCTACAAATTTATAATTTTGATTAATAACCTATACTCATTCCTGTGAAATGCCTAAGAATACATCTATTTACTGGTAATTCCTTAAAATTTTGGTCCCTGGTTGCTACAGTAGCTATGCAAAGAAGTATCAGTTTTGGTACCCTTTGCTCTATATTTCTTACAAGCCAGACTTTATACTAGTTTATTCTATGTGTCATTCAAGCACAACTTCTTGGGTCCTTTTCACTAAAACTCTGAAATATATCATAGGCGCTTGGTTTCAGGATGGTGTATTATGTGTTTTCCTAGGTGTGTCTGAATATCTCATCAAAATAAAAACAAAAATTCGTTGAAATTAGCATGTTTTAAAAATGTCATATTTACTGTATATAAAAAGAGTAAAGGAGTGTCACTCCCCATCTTGATAATCAGGGGGTACCTCAGTTCACACTTAATTTTCATCTATATCTACTTTTTTCCTACTGGTGTCGGGTGAGATCTAGCTTCAAAAATAATTGAATGACAACTCCCTATCATCTGTTGACCTACACATGCCGTTTTAAACATGCAGTGAACCGAAACGTCCTCGATTCTTGCACCTGTACTAACCCTAAAAATGTAGAGGTGTTCCAGAATTACACGGAAAATCTAGAGAGAACAAGTTTGGCGCGGTTTCTGACCTCTCTAGATTTTCCATGTAATTCCAGGACGCCTCTACATTTTTCATCGTTAAAAATCGGCACTTCTGTTGCTTTTGATTTCTGTGCTAGGTATCGAGGACATTTTGGGTTTACTGCATGTTTTATATGGCAAGTTCAAATCGGCAGACGTTTGAAAGGCATTATTCAATCTTTTTTGAAGCTAGATCTCACCCGACACCGGTAGGAAAAATGTAGATATAGATGAAAATTGTGAACCGAAGTACCCCCGATTTTCAAGATGGAGAGTGAAGCTTCTTTACTCTTTTTATATACAGTAAAGATGACATTTTTAAAACGTGCTAATTTCAGCAAATTTTTATTTTTATCTTGATGAGGGTATTCAGACACACCTAGAAAAACACATAATACACAAAATACACCATTCTGAAACCAAGCGCCTACGAAATATATGTTTGTGATGCATTTAAAACATCAAAGGGTGTTGAAACTTTGAACAAAATAGAGTCGCTTTCCATCAAATTAGCCATCTTGGCAAGCCAGTTGCAAGAGATCAATCTCCAGAGTGAAGTGGACTGAAAACCCCTCACAGGCTTGAAAAGCTGCAATAAAGCTTGTTGTATATCATTACATTCAAGAAGGTTTACTTCTAAGTGTAGGTAAAGTTTCTAAGTTTGCAATTAAAAATAACTATTAATATAATCAGATGAGCAAAAATCTTGAATATCTGGAATTTTATAGTATTTTCCAGAAAACAGCCTTAATTCTGAACTCTTAACTTTTGACAATGTGTCACATTCAGTACTGTCGAGTGATTCCAATCATCCACATTAATTTTGTTTGGACAATTTTACAACTTTGTGGGGACATAAGTTTGTGTATTTGGAGGATGTGAATTCATAAATGAAAGGTACCCATGGAGTACATAAAAACTGAGCCACCATGAAATCTAATGATTTTACAATATTTTACTGAGAAAAAATTTTAATTTACATTTACAGTTAAATAAAGTTATCTCTCTTGCCCTAGTCTCTCTCTCTCTTCAAATATCCTCTAATAAAAAAAAGAAAGTGGTAGAGTATGAATAATTTTAAGTTAAGAAATCAGTTTTATTTGCTCTAGCCCATACTTTTGTTTGGATACGTCTGGGGGTGATTCCTCCTCTTCAGAAAGTTCGTCCATAACAGAAACATGTTTTGTGTTCTCCTCCTTGGACTTTTTCTCTTTCTTCAATAGTTTCCAATACTCGTGCTGTATTTTTCTTTTCCTTTTATCAGCAAAGCCCTGGCCTAGTAAGAATAAACACGATTCAAGTCTTATACCATTTTTTTTACAGCCTATCATTATTGTTTCTAAATTGTCACAGCTAATGGCGACAGAGACAATTCGGTGCACATGATTGTCTTAAATTTATTTTTTTACATAATAATGGATTTAATTTTTTAAAAAGTCATTCAGTTTGGCAGAATATTACCTTCTGTTTTATTTCCAGTGAACTTTTTATAAGCTCTATCCCCTTTCTCCTTAAATTTTCCACGAACATGTTTCCCGTTGTTCATTTTGTTTGTTAACTCGTACCGAAAATGTCAACATTTGCTTTAGCTAAGTTATACGTAGACTGTTTCTCAATTTACCAGAACAACCGTTCTGTACTGTACCCTACAAAGAGAAGAGTTTTTAAAAAAAAAATGACCAGAACAGCAGCCTTATATTGTACCCTTCAAACAGAAGAAATAACAATATGAAGAAAAATAAATTAGAGTAAAGACTCTCACATTTTGAAACTGCACATTTAGGAGCCTGCACCAGACATGACACTTTTCACAAAAAAATATTTCGACTCAGACTAAAATTTCAACCCTCTGTATTTTTTTTATTTATTAAAGATATTTTTTTCTAAATGATTAATTACAATTTAATAGTAAAATATTACATAATTTAACAGAAAAGTAAGATTTCGATCTGAAGTTCAGATATTTGTAGTAGAATGTGGGAAAATTTTGTCTTAGTCGTTGGATTCTTTGTGAAAAGGGCCACTGGTTGGGCCATCATTGATCAAATGCAGTAATAAAATAGAAAGATGTTGAGTCAAAGTTGGATCAACATATTGGACCAACGTAGGGTCAGTGAGCAAAACTGCAAAAGTCTCGTTGCCAATATTTGTCCAACGCAGTCAACAACTGTGAGCAGAAGCTTGCTCTGGTAGTCATGCTACATGCAGTTTGGGGGATCACGTATATTTAAGTATTCTATTGTAGTTTGCGACGAACTATATATCCTTGCTTCTAAAGAATTTTGTTGTACCTACACGTATTCGAACAATGATAAAAATAAATCCATTCCTAGTCCAAGGATTAGGCAAAAGACAGGGGTTGTTTAAGTGGAAAACATAGGCTATAACACGGTAAGTCGTCAAAATCGCGAATCATTTTTCATTGTCAGGTATGTGGCACCGTACTCTGAATAAAATGCGTTAAAACTGGGTCAAAATCAAACACTGAAAAAAGATTCACAGTGCGACAAATTTGTGTCAAAATGAACGCACCTTGATTTTTTTCCCCCAAATTGCAGTAAAATTGAGTCAAAATCGAACATTTTGGAAATTTGGGGAAAAAATTCAAAGTGCGTATTTGGGACAAAATCAACACACTTTGATTCGTGTCCAAATTGCGTTTAAAATGTGCATACTTTTTTAAACCATGGAGACACTTGCACTTTGATGCAGAAAAGCCCACTTGAATATTTGGCCAAGGTGAGCCTAAAAGTACAGCGACATTCAGCATTTCATCCGACATCCACATATCAAAAATGTAGGGCGACGCGAAGCGTACAAAACATTAATCCCTTTTTTAAAACTTCTGCTATTTTGTTTAAAACTTCTCAAATCCTCTATATAATTGTTTTTGTAGAGGCAATTAAGCACAGATTCTAATTAAGGGACTCGTCACTTTATACACCTGCTCTCAGTAACTGAAAAGCAAAACTGATTCCTTCCTGTCTCCAAAACTAAAGAAATGTCTTGTTTTAATTATTCGCCTGATTCTCGAATGAATACAAACGTAGACCATATTCAATTAACAACGGTGAATTTAAAATTAAAATCAGAACTACTTTCAGTCTTGTAAACCACTTTTTGATTCTAAGTAAGGAAACATTAAAAGAAAGAAATTGCATGCGATTCAGCTGCGAGGAAATAAATTTCTTTTGTCAATTTCCGCGATAAACTTAATATCAACCTTTCCCTATCTTGTTAAAATTGAAACATATATAAACCAATCGTTCTACCAAATTAGAAATAGGAATATTTCACCGAGAAAACGAAGCTAAAGTGGAAAGCCTATGATTTATTTCATGGCACATATTCCTAAAAACCTGACTTTCAGAAGAATAAACTAGTAAGTTATGGACACACCAAGCAAGTATCAAAAGTTCTAAAATTTATTGGAAATTATTAAAAGATGTTTTTAAAACTAAGGTTAGGTCAGTTATTACAGAAAATGGAAATATGCATATTAATTACAGCGATATTGACAAGGTTGAAGCGTTAAATAGATATTTTGCTTCGGTTTCGTCTTCGCATGATGTCGAACCTGCATTACCAGCTTTTTCTTTATTATGTAATAGTTTTTTAATAGTAGAAATAGTTGAGCAGGACATTATTGATATAATTTCTGTTCTCCCAGTGAACAAGGCAATAGGACCTGACAACATTAGTCATAAAATGTTAAAAGCTACCATTTTTAGCGTTCTTATCCTTTATGTATTTTGTTTAACAGATCTTTAAGAGAATGTGTATTTCAAACAGTGGAAGGTAGCTAATGTACTTCCTTTATTTAAAAAAGGTGACCCATCATTATTATCAAATTATAGAAGTCTCATTAAAGCTGCGTTGGCAAAATTATGGAGCGAGTTATTTTTAAATATGTTTACAATTATTTTCATTCAAACAATCTTTTTTACAAATATCAAGCTGGCTTTTTACCAGGTCATTCAACAGTTTATCAACTTATTGAGACATTCGATTACATAGCTAAAGCTATGGATGAAGGAAAACACTGTTGTATGGTTTTTTGCGACTTGTCTAAGGCATTTGATCGGGTTTGGCACAAAGGCCTTCTCTTTAAGTTACAAACTTATGGTGTTAGTGATAAGTTATTATTATGGTTTCAAAGTTATTTAGATTTAAGGACACAAAGGGTATTGCATAGGAATACTATGTCTAGTTTTAGATCTTTACATGCTGGAGTTCCCCAGGGGTCTGTATTGGGGCCACTTTTATTCTTGATATATGTCATTAATTGATAATTCTTTACAGAAATGTTCAGAAAATGTACATGATATTCAATTAGGATTGAATAATGATTTAAATCAACTTGAGCGGTGGTCTAAACAATGGCTATTGAAATTTAATCCTAAAAACCAAAGCTGTACTAAGAAAAACGTAGATTTACCAGATTGTAATTTAGATTTAGTATCAAATAATCACTTAGGTTTCTTTTTCAAACGACCTCACTTGGTCAGGGTACATTGATTCTACTAGCTAATGCATATAAAAAATTAGGTCTACTTAAAAAACTGCAACTTAAGGTCAGTGCAAAAACTTTATCTCTTTTATATACTACTTTTATAAGACCTAAGTTAGAATATGCAACTGAAGTTTGGTGTGGGTGTTCTAGTCAAGATTCTGAAAAACTAGAAAAATTGCAACTTGCAGCAGCAAGAATAGTCACTGGATTAACCTCATTTTTTCTCTCTATATGGTTGGGATTCGAATGTCCAAAGATATGTACAAAATATTTCATAATATGGTACCCGGTTATTTGAAAGAAATATTTCCAAACATTCGATCACAAGAATCAAATTTTAAGACATCACAAAATTACTGTATCCCTAAGTGTAGATTAAATAAAATCATCGTTTGTTCCAATGGCAATAAGGGAATGGAATTCTTTATCTCTTGAAACAAGACAATCCACTACAATTGGTTCCTTCAAAAATTGTATAAACTCTCAGAAAACACCCACCCCGTCATTTTTTACTTTTGGTGATCGTTACTGGAGTGTAATTCATACTAGATTAAGACACAATTGTGTCCAAAATAAAGACTTATTTAGGTGTAATATTATTGACAGTCCACTGTGTACTTGCGGAAAAATAGAAGATACATATCATTTCTTTTTTTCTTGTGTGAACTACATGCCCCAAGAAACGATTTGTTCAATGCTATTTTTAGAATGATAAATTTACGTATTTCATGTTCTATTATGGGGAGATAATTCGAATTTTATTTTTAAATGTGCAATTGTTTATTAAGAGATCTGGTCGTTTTTGAGTAATGCTTTTAGATTTGTATGTCCATATACATTAATTCAATTTGTATATGCATTGCCTATGTTAGATTTGACCTTTGGTTCCTGTGTAAATTAATTTTGAACAATGTACTTTGTGTTACAAATTATTTTAAAGGAGAGGACGTTCTAAGTTTTTAAGAACTTGTGTCCAATCCTTTTGTTATAACATCAAAACAATAAAATATGTTCAAATCATGGACACACCACTGCGCCAGTTTGAATTTTGTAGTTTGGATTTCATTCTGAATTTGTAGGTTGTGGAACTAGGATACAAGTAATTGTTTCACTTTGATTTTATTGATTTCTACAAAGTGTCATCCAACTAAAGGAATCAAAGATAATTAGATTCCCGACTTTTCTGACCAAGATTTCTTACATTTAGTTCTTATTCTTGTTTCATTAATTATCTGTCTCTAAATGTATACAGAAAAAGGACTTGTGCTCGGATTCTGTCAGATAAATATTTTTACAAAAAAAATTTCAGGTCTATAAATACTCACTAGATGGCAAGTTTCATATCATTTTTATATATTCAATGAGATTTGTAGATGTGCGATTTCTTTTTTATCATTTGTAAAAAAGTTTACGGATCTGTCATGTTCTAAATTTTGAATTTACCGTGTGGCAGTAAATACAAAATTTACATATTTTTTGAGGGGAAGGAGATGATTATTCACTTTTCGTAAATTGTAGTAAAATACATTTTGTTACCAATTGTTAAAAGGTAAAGAATATGACAACAGTACTTTTGGCACCTAAATTGTAGACTTTATGCATACTGTGCCCAGTAATGAGCAGCAAGTGTGTCAATCATTTGACTCAGTTGATTGTGTTGCAAATCCATTGTACATCTTTCTTTTAAAGCCCCTGTCATTGAAGATTCAGAGGTACTCGTATAGATTCTGCCTGTCCGTCCATCTTACTGTCTGTTTGTCCGCAAAAACTTTAACCTTTGCCATAACTTTTGAGTGGATGGGGCTATGGATTTCGTTCTTCACAAGTATATTCCTTTCTTAAGGTGCTATCAAAGTTGACCTCATGACCTTGACTTTGGAGTTAGACTCACTTTTATTGAAAATTTCCGAATTTTAACCTTGGCCATAACTTTTGAACAGTCGGTGCTAGGTCTCCCAAACTTTACATGTGTATTCACTATAACAAGATCTGTCAATGGGTACATGAATATAATTGACCTTTTGACCATAGAGTTTGCACCACTTTTAAAAACTTTAACCTTGACGATTACTTTTGA